AATTAATGTTCGTTCGATGCTTCCCACTAGCTGCAACTGATGCTGTTCACGCAAGTGCTTACATTAGAAATCGAGTTGGACAGCTAAAAAGTCTAATGAAAAAAGAAGAAAAATACTCTTTATGTCGAAACATATGCTAGATATCTATTACGTAAAGCCTGGTTCTCATATGCCGCCAAAGCACCTGCGACGTAGCCGCCGGTACTGTAGGGTACTGCCTGCGATACAACTCCACCATGCTGTAAGACCGCCGGGAACAAGAAAGTCGGAGGTCTTTACTGCCGGCATGCCTGCGAAGTTGAACTCGAGTCAACTTCGCAGGCATGCCGGCGGTAAGGACTCATGGCCTCTGTTGCCGGCGACTTTTGTTCTCATGTCGGAAGGGCATCGCAGGCAGTACCGGCGGCTATGTCGCTGGTAGCTCGGCGGGAAATTAGAACCAGGCTTTAGTTGAGCTGTTTGTCAGTTGTTCGCTTGGGAAGCCTGTGGTATGATCGATCAACATAATGCTCTTCTTTTGAGGCAAGAGAGGCCCCCTTTATCCTCTCTTTTTTTAGGTAACCTGCGATCAGGCGTTCTCTTACAAGAAAAAGGGCAGAAGGACCGTCTGAGTGCAGGTAGTTTTGAGGTACTCCGTAGCAAGGGAGATTGATGAAGGAAGAAAATCTTTGCGACCTAGACTGCCGGGGACAGTCCCTACTTTTTTTTCCCGCAAATCGTCAGATTCGTGCGCTTACTGTAACGGACGGCCATATTCAAACGTACACTGAGGCCTCCTTGGTATATACTTTTTACTTATTGACGACAAAATAACAATTTTAATTTACAGCACATGATAAAAATATTTAAAAAAATGTAAAAATAAGTAACAAAACTAATTACAGCCTTTACACACGAAAAAGGTAAATAAACAAATAAAAAATAACAATAAAAAAGTATTAGTCAGAGGATAAAAGTCCGTCAGTTGCCACACATATTTAATTAAAGAAGACGGAGAATTCAAACACTAGGAAAGGTGAGAAAAATTTCCCGAGCTCCAGGTGAGAATCAAACTCACGATCGACTGTCCGAGTTCTTGTTCGGATGCTCTATAAACCACTGAGCTACAGGAACTCTCATGGCGAGCAGCGGGGTCGCCACAATTTTCAATGCGACAAAAAGGCTTACGTAAAAATTCATCTAAATTAGGTTTCTTTGCCATGCTTTTGCAAGTATACAAGTAAATCTTTTGCAATAATACCAACAGACGAAGTCTGCTTAGAATTGAATTTGACATTTGCAATGGAAACAGTGACTACTAGGAAAGATGTCGACTTCATGAGAAGGCCGGTTACTTAGGCCATGGCCAATAACCAAGATCGATGAACCACATTATTTTCATATTTTCCATGGATTAAAGAGACAATGGCATTTTTACATGTCGGAAGAGAACGGGAACAGTGTTTCTTTAACAGACAGTTTGTTAGTTTGAAGTACAAATTAGTCAAAAGAAGCATACAAGGTTACAAAAGGGCTTTACCTAATTAAAAGAAAAGGCCTATCCTGTTGCAAGACCTGGAAATAATTTCATGTTATCATTTGTTTGCGTCTGAAAGGAAACTTCAGCTTTAGATCTGGAAACAGATCTAGATAGACCGAATTAACAAAAACCTAGAATAGATTGCACTGGTTATAACTGAAAAAAAAATAAGCATGCTGGAAAGATATAATTATTTTTGTTTGTTCTACATGAAGCTTGAATATTGCTTAGAGGTAATTTCTTCTGTAAGGCCAAGTTTCATAGTAACAAGTACTGTACAGTAATTGGCAAAACTAACAGAAATATAATAACACATTCCTTGTAGATATAGCTGCCTTCTCCAGCAATCATTAAGTTTTTCTGTTCCTGGGACAGGCAATTTTTCTCCACCATTAATTCAGGAAAGAGGGTTAGGGTAGAAAATATAATCTACACTGTATTGACAGAGTTCTTGTACATCGCATTGTTTTTGTTATTAATTTTCATAACACTGTCCTACTTAATGCCTGCCTTAATACTTGCCTCGATCTCATGCGTTCAGTTTTCTCGCGCTGGAGCTGGTATCTATTTTGTGACACTCGTTCGCATATGAAACGTTGACGATTTTCTGTTTACTTCAGATTTGTTTATAGTTTTTCTCGCAGTTTTCAATTAAGTTTTTTTTTTATATAAGAAAATTTCCATTCTAAGATAATCGGATATGTGGATGTTATGTTGACAATGTGTTCTGCAAAGTGTATTTGTTTTTCTGAATTCAAGCAAGATCAGCTTAGATCGACCAGATTTAATTCTATTACAAATTACATCTTTTCGCTTTTAAAAGCTATTTAAAGCATTGTATTTGCTTTTGTTTGTTACCATTTTTCAGATTTTTGAAAAATATACAAGAAGTTGAACAGTGAAACGTTGACCTTTCCGGATGCATTGTATTTTGAAAACAGTGCTAAGTAGGTGAGTCGTGTTAGCCTAGTGTCACGCAACAAGGGTTTAAAGTGATACGGGACGCTTATAAACTTATAACTTTAATTTTCTGTATCCCAATTGTAAGCCAATTTTAATTGACCATGCTACAGTGCAAAAGAATATCCTGAGGATCATAGTCAGTGTTTGACCTGTTGTTACTCACATGTACTTTTATACTTAGAGGTTTAGCCAAGGAAATGTAAAAATTACAGTACGCTCTTGCATTTTTTGGGAAAAATGAAATAGTAACGAATTGTAAAGTGGGAGGATAAACAATAACACTGATAAGACAGCTGCTGATTTTCATATTGATAAAAGCGTTTGATTTTGATTTCTCAATATTACAAGCCCATCAGGTTTTGCACCCCCTTCCCACTTGCACTCACTACCCACCAACCCCCATCGAACGCACTCGAGCTCCCCTAATTTGCAATTATTACTAGTATAATATTAATATTCCCTTTGGATCTTTACATCAGTCGCGTATAGGTGACGCTGTATTTCATGTGTATTGTCCGGCGAGAAAAAAAGTTACGCTTCAGTTACTGATTGGTATCATGTAAATTGTCCGAAGTGTCATGTTCTTATAGGGTCTTACAGTTATTCAGTTACGGCATCAATCACCCGCTTTAACTGTTGAAATGCTTATAGCCAGACAAGTCATGATAATTTTCGAGTTTCTTGGACATAATTATGTGCAACACGTGTACATCAATGCACATCAAGCCTTCACTTAAAAACAGGGTGTAAACTACATAGTTACAGTTCAGAGTTTTTGGCTTTAATATAATAATATGTCATGTTTCGTTCAGATATATGAACACTGCCGTTCAAAACTGTGCGCGCGTCAGAGGTGTGTTATAAGAAAAAGCTAAGTAAGTAACTCTGACTCAGTAAACAGACAAATATTTCAACTGAACACCACCAGTTCAATAATGCCGTTAACTATTAGTATCAATGAACGGGTTTTGTACCACCTTAGTGTGACTTAGCCTTCTCGCAGTCACAGAGAACATCAAGGAGTAAATACCATCGTTCCATTTTCATTTCAACTGTGGGCTTTAGCAATGAAGAGAACTGTTGTCTTTCGCAGGAAATGGGGAAATTGATTAAAGAGAACCTTTTAAAAGGTATTTTCAGAGTTGGTTAACTAATTTAAAATGTCACTGCAAATACACAACATTAAATTTCCTCAAGTTTATTTGTGAACATTTTGATGCGCGAACAAACGATCACCTTTTTTACAAAAGCGCATTTTTGGTTTTTTTTTTTTTCAAAATAATGCTTGAAAGTTGGGGGTGCGGCTTATACACGAGTACGGCTTATACACGAGTTTTTACGGTATATACGGCTACTGGGCTGTCACCAAAACCATTCAACGACAGTGTCATGACCGTCACGTGGGTGATGCAATTACGGCATTAAAAGACCAATTAAAGAATATTCCATCCAATCAGAGGGAAAGTCCCTTTGCAGAGAGGCGAACAATGACTGAAACGAGGTCAAGAACCCTGCCTGAGCAATCCTTGTGTCTCCAGACAGCGGAACATGACTAAGCACGAACGGCTAGACAAAAAACTGTTCAATGAAGTTGAACAAAAAAATATTGAGATCACTAGCTATAGCTTCCTAGAATTCCAGCCTAGACTACAGTTCTAATAATAATAAGCTGGTGTTTTGCTCTCAAAACGATCTTTCGTTTCAATTTCGTTAGTAGTTTTTTGATACAACAGAAAATGCCCACTGTAATTTATTTTGTAAATAATTCGTCCTGTTTTAGCGGAGGCGGGCTTAATTTGTCCGCAATTTCAGAAGTAGACAAAACAATTTTTAAAAAAGACTGTCAACGCGAGATCGTTAGACAGGAACGAGCCTCTCAATTTCCTGAATGGGAGCTCTGACAATAGTTGAGACTTGTTTGAAAGATCGACTTAGGAATATTATGGGCACCTGACAATGATACGGAAAATCGATCATGATTGAAATGAATTGTGAGGAGTGTTCAAGGGTTCTCAATACTATTTGTTACACCACTGTCCATAACAGTTTCGCAAATAATTAAGAGGACTATAATAAATGTTTGCTCGATGCTTGAAACCCTTGAACCCGTAAAATCCATCAAAATCCTGTAGAATGCTGGTCTCCGTGACAGGCGCAAAAATGGAAGAGGGAGAGAGTAGGGAGAAAGGCTCTCTCAGTGCCCCTTTCTTCTTATGCCCTTCCACCTTATAATTAAGACCTCTTTTTATGTGTCAAGCTCTCACGCAATGCGTACTTTCCATTTACGTCTTAAAATGACAATCTCTAGTATGAAATTTAAACCAACTTTCTAGTTTCATTACAATCAACTATCAAACATCATCTCAGGTCAAAAAATTATAAACCAACATATAAAAGTTAATAAAACAAAAGAATTAGCCTTTAGCCAATCAGAGGAGACCTTACGAAAGATGCTACATCACTCAACAATTTTGCGTCCGTTTTCATGAGGCTTCAGTTGAAAACCGCCCTATGCCCTTTACACCCATGTAGATCCGTTCGGAGCCAAATTTTCAACGCTTCCACTCTGGTTTGCTGCTGAAAATTTTTTTTTCAGCTCACTAACAAGGAGTGTCAGACCAGCCTCTTCTCCGCACGCCTCAATGAGCTTTCCGATTGTGCTGTGTTCCTTCACAGAGAACGCGTGTAGAAATTTCTCTGCTGGATTATCCGATTGTTCCCAGTTTTTTTTTTCTTCCTTTAATCCAACGTGGTCGGCAACAAATTTCCAGTAGTGATACCCTAAAATGAAAAGAGTACAACTTAAAGTATTTAAATATACGAGGAATCTTGGTTGAGTGCAAAGACATTTGAATAATGCGAATGAAACCTCTTCAGCTGCACAGATACTTTACTTACTGCAGCCGGCAACTCTAAAAATCCTTGTGTATTATCTGCATTTCGAGTCATTATATACTGTATAGAGGAATTATTTAAATATTTAAAGCCTGGGATTTAAGAGCTTAAAGGACTGAGGGAAGCGGAACTGTAGGAGCAACAAGTTATAATGTATAAATTGGGAATATAGAACCAATCAGTCCAACAAGACTAAGTACACACTGTCTAGTACTAAGAAAAAAAAATCCGTTTGACCCCTGTGACTTTCCTATACGATGAGTGTTCCCCAGAAATAACGTAATTGGGACCTTCTGTAAGACCTTGACAGCCCGCAAGACTTAATCATTTCTCAGCTCTCCACACTGCAAACTGTGTAAGTGTAGCTTTAACAAAGTGGTATCTGATCGCATAAAACATAGGCCTCTCTATGGGTACATTTTTTGGTCGCGAGCTTCCATCAAATCACCGCCTTATTTTCAACACAATCGTCGCATGAATTGACGACGACGACGAAACGAGAGAATTAAAAGAAAAACGGATTTAATAAGGAAAACAATAACCCTGAACTTTTTATCACACTTTTTGGAGATTCTTTGCCGTCATCGCAAGACTAACGCCGTCAAAATTGATCAGAATTGCAATGCCATCGCTCACTTAATTAATCTCTACGATCGTCGTTTCATCAAACATATAGCGACCATCGCGACAATTTCGTCGAAAATACCCATAAAGAGAGCATTAAACCCTAAAAATTGAAAAAAAAAAAAAAAAGGAAATTTACCATGAGTATCCTTTTCGTTGAGGTGCATGGTTATGAACTTTCTATCAGCAGTTTTGATACTTGAAATTAATGTATCCAACCCATCTAAGAAGGAAAGAAAAAAGAAAAATAAAGACAATATTATTGTGATAACGTTAACATTTCTTTCGGCTATGAAATTTAAAAAATAATAAAGTGAAAAGAAAGATTTTTTAAGAATATTGAGGGCCTAGAATTTGTATAAAATTGGCAACTAAAGGGTAAGGAATTTTACGGTTTTTAAAAAAGTTGTTGATTCTATTCCTATAAGTGAATCGATTAACAGAAAGTTTAGTTGTGAGTCAGACCGAACGCTCTCTAAGCATGAACTTATAGCGTTGTCTTACCTTGAATCCATCTTATAGTTGATTCAGAATTCAATCTTATAGTCAGAATATGCTTGGTTTGGTTCATATGGAGCCTTAATCTTTTCACACTCACATGGCCAGCAGTTACGCAAATTTTTTTCAACAAAAAAGTTTATATTATTTAATTAGAAAAAGGTTTAAATTGGTTTGGGACACCAACATGGCTGCCGTTTCATATGGTTTTCATGGGGTCTCATAGCAGTCAACCGACAGCCGTCAAACTGCCTACCCTTTTTTAGGCCGTCACGTAGATTGACATTAGCCGTAAAAGTCTTCGAAATATCTCAAATCTCACTATTTCAGCTGACCTTCTCGTACCTCTGGCTCCTCAGTGAAAAATGTATTCCCTTAATTGGAAAAAAACAGTTCCCATGTTCTCAAAAACACACTCACTGACAACTTGCATTTATCTGAAAATAGTTCAAAATGTTTTACTAAGTCTGACAAAGATATTTCTTATGACTTATTTCTTACCATTTAATATTTAACCAAGTATTGTCTAAATAAATAAATAAATAAATAAATAAATAAATAACGATTTGCAGGTAGCACATCCACATAGTAGTTCTTCGTCTACCTGATTCCTGGTCGAATTGGAATTTGGAGGTTGGTTTTTGAGGAGAGGGGAAAACCGGAGTACCCGGAGAAAAAGCTCTCGGAGCAAAGGGGAGAACCAACAACAAACTCAACCCGGGCGTCGACGCCGGGATTTGAACCCGGGCCACACTGGTGGGAGGCGAGTGCTCTCACCACTGCGCCACCCTTGCTCCGGGTCTTTCAAATATTTGTGACCCTCCACAATGATTCTTTTTGACTGTATAATGTGAAATAACGAGTAATTTATATTTGCTTTCAATATTAAACGCTTCACAAAAAGAAAATAAGAAAATTAGATGCCCTTAATGTTCTCTTGTTATTTATTTACTTACGCTGCTGCATTAATGGGGTGGACTGATGAGCCGAACCATTGGATTCTTTGTTCTTCTTACGTGCCCTTCTTCTTCTTTTTCTTCTTCTTCTAATCCAACATAATAGGATCGCAACAACGACAGCCAGTAATGCTAGGGAACCGGATACAAGTCCCCACTGAACTAATTTTTTGCTCCCTGAGGTTCTCTCTTCGGGATCAGGATCAGAAGGTTCCGTAGTGGAGGCCTGTGTCCAATCAATCCAATCAATAGTCTTGCTACTGGAAACGCTCGGTGTCTTTTCGGTGATTTCTGTTTGACCAGCAGCTGTACCTGATGCCGACAGATCAGTGGTATGAATATCAGGAGCACCCAACGACCGAATGTTTTAAATGTTTTGCATTGTAATCATTGATTGTCTTATTATACCTATCAATTTTTAGTATTAATTGTAACTTTATCGTAAAGCTTTTACAATACTGTAACTTCATATATAGTCAAGCAAATAAAACTTAGGTTGTTAAGATAAAACGTCAAACGTGTTCTACTGGTTTTCTCTATATTTTAGAAGAGTATTTTGTTCATTTGGCGCTGCCCTAAAAAACAATTTATCTGAATGGGATCAGTGTCTTGATCGTCTCGAAAGTTTTAATTGTAATTGGTAGCTACTCTAAAGGGGCCGGTAGAAAGTTGGAGGACATGGAGTAGCCGTACTTTCAATTACAAGATTTTAAGGAGCGTTTCGTCTTTATAACGAAAACCTAAAAATTTGGCTGCAGAAACCTTTATACACTCTTTCTTTCATGTCACGATTTACTGACGATTTCTCTCGTTAATTTGTAGGTGACCAGGGCATATTGACAGTGATTTTCCCATAGGCTTTCGTTTACCAGCACGATTATAAACATTTTCAAAGACTTTGCTCTACTCGCCGCGGCCATACTTATGAAATATCGACATTTCCCACCCCAAAAACCGACCAGGGAATATGGGTACTAAGCTTTTGACGCCGGTGGATTTTTCGGTCGGTTAAGTTCCCTTCTTCATTTGCCCGTTCCCTGGTAAACTCAGGATAGAAAGCTAAGAGATGTTTAGTCTAGCTATTTATACTCAAGCAGCTGTTACCAACCGTCTAGTTATATTTTCGCTATTCTTACTAAGTTTAAAGGCACAACGTTACTTCTTTAAAAAAGTGTACAATTTTCTGCCATATTCTCCAGCTCTACCAAAACATCAAAGCTAACTCAACTTCGTCCTCAGGGCTTCTAGGCTACTGTCACTTTCTCTGACAATCTCATGTGCTATTCATATTACGTCATTTTTAATTACGCGATACCGCAAACGTCTTCCAAATTTGGTCAACGCTAGTTGGTTATAGAGAATTAGCTGGAAGATTTGAGCCAATCAGACAAGGAGAATATATTTTTGAATGACTGATAATTTAAAGAGCAAGATACCTGTCTCCATCAGGAAGTGAACTTAGAAAGTGGGCAAAGACTAAACAGAAAAGGGAGAGACTATGCCAGTTTCCTTTGTTTGCGTTTAGTTATACTTACTTGGGGCCCATATTTCACTCGTAGTCGATGGCTTCTTTTCGCATTTTCGGTCATGTGCAGTGCTACACTTTTGTGTCTCCACTTCGTCAATGGCGCACTTTGAACACTCCACACATCCCCCGTCTAATCCTGTACTATTATCGAAATAGTTTCCCTCGTCACAACCACTGCAGAGAGTTGGAGAATATATTGTACACTTCCTTATCACCTTAAAATTTCCATCGGGACAATTTGAATGGTCGTTAATACATCTGTGAAACGAAGAAAGACCCTGGTGTTAAAAGGCTCCTGAAAATGATTTTTGGGGAAAAATCAAAGTTAAGAAAAGATTTGGAAAAGGCTAGAGAAGAGTGAAACTGGATATCTTGTTATTTCTTCATTGTAACTATCTGTGAGACAGTATTTGAGTAAACCCTGACCGGCTTTCCTTTTTGGTAGTATAGTGAGCAAATGACGCCAACATTCTTAGAATTACCATTTTTATATGAGAGGCTACACGCGGAGGGAAGGCCGTTAAGCTAAGTGCAAACGGAGGCAACAACTCCAAACTTGGTTGCCGCAAGTGTTGCAATGGTGTCCAAACAGATGCAACAACATGCAACAAGATGTGCAAAGGGACACAATAAGTAGTATCATCCAACAATGTTGAAAGGCCTTGGCCAACAATGTTGCGTCCGTTTGCAAGGGGCTTCGGGGTTGGTCAGGGGGTTAATAGGAAGAAAAAATCACGTGCGCTCTGACGTATCTCGCTCACTTTACTATCCCTGAGAAAAAATGAGCGTATTATTCGCAGTCTATCATTACAGTATTTGAAACTGAACATGATCTTCGGAGTAGAATGAACAACCTCAAGCAACAATACAAGGACATAAACTCGCCAACAATCTCATAACACTGAATGCATCTATTGCGTTAGTTCTGACTTACTTAATACACGGCGTCATATCATTTGTCCCTGAATAATCATATCCAGGCCAACACTCTTGACACTCTGTATCTTTCAGGGCTGAACATTGGGTCTTAACACCGAATGCTCGAGGACACGTTGAGCATGGTGCACATGATGCACCATTATAGTATTGTAGTGGGGGACAGTCGTTTGATGCTGCAGCCAACTGCAAGAGAACATACAAGAAGTATGCTTTAATTCAGGAGAAATAATACGTAATGAATTGATGTGAACGTCCAAGATTCTATCGAGATAAACTTGAAGACCTTTGGAAAATGCATCATTAGCATTTTATTAATTTTTAGTGTTTGTGTTTATTTAAAAATAAAACAATTTTTTCTTTACTCGGATAGCCCATTCATTTGTCCAGCTTGGCTTATAAATAATTATTGCGTTTATTAATAATTTCTTCTGTTTTTTCTTTATGAATTATTAATGATTTTTGGATGAAAAATACCGCGCTAAATTGTTTCTCATATTAAAAGAAGTTAGAAAAAGTTAAAAACGACCGTACGACGTTCACTAACGCCATAATCAAGTCAAATTTCTTCATTCTCAAGATAATGATATTGTTATTACTTTTATTAGCGTTGACATGGGAATGGGGTACCATTCAACTTCACTGGAAACGTCTATTACAGCGTCTGATGGGCACACCCTGCCAGACAATCGCTTGTTTTACGGGATCCAACGCAAAAGACCTCTTCACGTATTTAACGCCATCTTGGCTGGGGGGCAAAGACGACTAAAATTACAGTGAATGTCATAGTATGGGATTTTGGCCCACTTGGAACCGCTATACGGCCGCTACAAAGAGACGGATTTCCAACATTTGCCACTACTTTAAATAGTTTTATTGATATCATTCATTCAACAGAAATAAGGCTATTAAAGATGGTACGACGTCAGTATGAATTCGGATTATAAATCTTCTCATGTGGCTTCTAATCCCATGGTAATTTGCATAGTGTTGATTAGAAGGGTTTGTATGACATCTTAAAAATTCGTTTACGATCGTTATAACCTGAATCTCTTCTTTATACTTTATGAAAATAATCTCAGTATAAATTTCTTTTAAAATACATTTTCGCTGTGGAAATCCACTTCTTTGTAGCGGCATTGTAGCGGTTCCAAGTGGGCCAAAATCCCATACATTCACTTTAATTTTAGCGGGAAAAGGTCTATTAAACGTAGCTGCTCTCGCAGGCTGGGCGAAATCCCGAGGAGGCACTCTAGTAACTCGCGAGTATATTGAGGAAAGTACTTACAGTTGAAATGAAATATACAGTGAGCATGCCAGAAAAAATCTCGATTTGCTTGAACAGGGGCCGCGAGGAATCGGCTAGGTAATGACGACGTTTCTATTGTTTGCGCCCGCAAGTACGAAATGGTGACATAAAGACAGAAAATCCCGAAGGGACCGCTTAGGTAGATTTGTGACATTTTGCGGTCATACTTCCTTACTCTTTTGCGTTACGTGTTATCAGTGACATTCCGTGGAGCAGTCGATTTGAAAGTTATGGACCAAAGGACACTCGTTAAGCGCAGATGAAGTTATAAGGTGCGTCTAACTGTGTATACAGCTATTGTCGGAAAAAGTACACGTGACAATCGCGAAAGGCATTGTGGGTGGTTTTGAGTTCACTGTTCTTCAGAGAAATTTCAAAGAATTGGCACTAAAGGCCATGAAAATGTGTTTGCAAGTGCTAACGGAAAGCAACAAAAGTAGGTTCGACAGCTACAGTCGTCAGGAACAGTGTATCCATCATATCCCATATTACCTTTCGGGATTGTCGCGTGCACATCTTTTCCGACAACTTTTCTCGACATAGCTGTATATAAACACTTGAAGAGTTAGCCTGTTCCAGGCGTTCAGGTAGTGCAATTTAACTCGCTCCCCAGTGACCGCCGCGTTCTACTATCTAAACGCCTGGAACAGGCTATTGGAGAGTTTGCCAGACAAGACGAGTTCACAAATCTTTGATTGGAAACCGTGCCAGACACTCTTTCTGTCTCTTTGACCGGAATAAGACGCAGCCCCAAACAAGCAAGACGAGTGAACAACGGCTAGCTATTATCACCAGCAGAACGATGGATAATTACAGAAATTCGCCAACAATCATATTCTGTGTGCTGACTTATTTTTTATTCCCTGCCCAGAGATGTCCTTCCGCTATAAAGTTTGAAATAAGACTAGAATGCTGGAGCGTGAATTGATCAGACAAACGTCCTTTTAATGTCTAATATAAGGCTTACTTTCCGGCAAATAAAATGAACTGAGTGTAAAAAGTGAAAGAAAAATAGCGAAACAATGTTTTGATCAAAGCTGTGTAAATCGAACTGAAACTGTGCATGGAACCTTGCGTTTCCTGTATTTATCTCACCTATATTGTATGAAATATTTGTGAAAATCTTCATTATCAATCGGTATATTTCAAAGAACTACACAACGAACAAGAATACTATAGATCGACTATATACAGAGCGGAGACCGCTGTAGTATCAACTGTTACTAGTACTAACTGTGCCTTATTATACCGTTACATTAAGTCAGAGAGTCACAAGTTTTGCTATAGTTAAAATATTTTTAAAAACTTTAGAGGCTTCGTATTTTGATCTTATTTTAAAAACTCGGCTTGTCGGAAATAGCGTGCTACTGCTATGGGATACTGAGAAGTAGATCAGCCAAGTGCGGGCTCGTACTCTATTAAACATTTGGTGGGAAAGTCGGCGGGAAGGTCATTCTTGTTTTCAACAATGGCGGACGATCTTGCAAGAAGACTGTCATCAGCCACTTCGAAAGCTATATGATTATCTGAAGCCCTCAACGCTGATCTAAATCAAGTAAGCTAATGGCCCTCATTTTATCGTTAAGCTTTAAAGTTCGATTTCTGAGCTTCTAAATAACTGTGCATTTTGCTCATGTTTTCGGTTTGCAGAGCTCGAGTGGTTCTTCGTCTCATTCTGCATCTGCTGCTACGTCATCTGCTCCACCTCAAGTATGTGTAATTTTTAGTTTTATCAGTCTCTCGATCAGATTAATCAATAGTTCGTGATCAAGATTTAGATGTTGGCAGGCATGTCGTCATGTCAAAACATGTTCATGCAGCAGTCTAGGTACGCGCGATAATTACATGACTTGGAAAAATAGACCGTTCATTGCAACGAGCTTTCTAGTTTTAGATTGAAATTTGATAGTCAGCATAATTCCTTTTTCTTTTATTCATGTGTTCTTCCCCTTCAATATTTCGCCCAAAACATGACTTTAGCTAAAACTGAAAAAAAAAAAATATTGTGTATAACCTGACTCGTCCCCAGTCGCGGCGGGAGCGGGGGGTGATGGAAAGGGAAAAGGGAGGAAGACTCTCGCTTTCCTCCTTCCTATCACACCCCTCGCGCCGCTAAGCCGAGATAGAAAAAGATGACTGGGGATGAGTCAGGTGTGACTGAACAGTTTCAGCAGGACCGAGTTTAAGTGATTACATTGTTTTTCACTAGTACTTATGAGCAATCTACACCAGTGAAAGAGCAGCCGGTAATAAATTACAGCAATTGGTAAGCAATTTCCCACATCGTATTGCGTAGAATTCTATCACGAACCGGTAAATCATTGAAAAACTCGTAGATGCTTCATGCATTGTTCATTTAACCTGCGATCAGGCTTTTTTTTTTTCAAGGACGGACGAGGCGAGAGGAAAAAAAAAACCTTCTCTCCTCTCTTCCCGTAAGAGACAGGGAGAGGGCACAATCTCAGGCAATGGTTGAGTTTGACTCTTGACCATGGCCCCAAATCATTCTATTATTCATTACTATTTATTTGAGCCAGATCGTTTAAAGGTTTTTTAGAGTTAAGATGAGTACTTAGAGCACTTGTTTACATGTGATGTATGTGCGTTGTACATCGCTCTACTAAATGGCTGAGTTTGTTTCCGATATAGCTCGTCATGGAAAACTATTTCAAAATATTAGTCAAAAGGGCCAATCTACAAGTTACTTTTGTCAGCTTTTGTAGTAATGGGTCATTTTTAACTTGGCCGGAAACAACTAAAAAAAAAGGGATTCGGGAAAGTGATGGAAAAAAGTGCGGGATGCGGGGTTTTCGTGAAAAGGGAGCGAGAGAGCGGAATAAGGACAAGTTGTACCGTAAATGATCGAATAAGCGCCGCGGCGCTTATTTAATTATCCATTTTATAGGTGCGGCGCTTACTTAAACTACGAGTAAAACGCTGAGGGGAATATAGAGGGATTAAGTGAGGGGCGTATTATACTATAGGTATGAACAATTTAGTATAAAATATGTACACCATTGTTATATGAACCCGGTTTCAAGAGTTTCCATAAATTAAAACTTTAGAACTCACGAAATGGTCGAGATCTTATTTCTCAAGCGATATCAAGAGCCAAAGATGGGGCGTTAATTTGTAAATACCTAAATTAGTGCCGCGGCGCTGATTCGAGAGCGGCGCTTAATCAGTCATTTTCGGTACTCGATCATTATGATATTTTTATTTTTATATTTATTGAAGATTACTTGTCAGAGCATTTAGATTGTGTTTAAAGCTCCAGTACCGTACCTGTATTATATTTTTAAGGCCCTGGGCGGCATTCGCCTATCCGAAATTTATGGTAGTACAAATAAGCTTGAATTTCGTTCATGGTTACTGCGTTTTCTGTCCTTTCGGATGTCCTCAGCAAAGGCTTAGTCGTTAAGTAAATTATTCCTTTTTTATAGCCTTTAGAGGGGTAAAAACTTAAATGGATGTATTTATTAAGAGAAATGAGTGGTCATAAGGTGAAGAAAAATACGTTATATTTTGAAGTCAGACATACAATATATCTCTTCGCTACATTAATACCGGCTGTCTGTGCGGTGGTTGAAGCGTTTAATCCGGTCACGTCTTCGTCATTTCCTGATTGCGTTAAGAATTTCCTTGTTTTTACAAACACGTGATTATACTGTCGGGTGAGTGTTAATCGCATATTACTCTGTTGCTTCAGTGACCCGGGTTTATTTAAAGATAGCAAAGCATTAACTATCTTTAAATAAACCCAAATCACGGAAGCAAAGGAGTAATATGCGATAAACGCTCACCCAACAGTATAATCACGTGTTTGTGAAAACAAAGAAATTTTCAATTCTATTCTCGAGACAAGTTTATTAATATTTCC